TCAAATGGATTGGATGGATTATATGGAAATAATCCCTATTCAGGATCAGTGCTGTTTTGTTAGTTTAATGGAACATAGTTTCTTTTAAATGAGATTTATTTATTACGCATATTAGCAAGGATAATGGCAGATATCTCATAACCTTTGTGGATAAGCAGATTTCCTGTTATCCTTTAATCTTGTGTTTTTGTACTACAATAATGGCAAAGGTGAAATGAATCTCAACTGAAGTCTGAGTTTGTGAGCCACACATGAACATAACTTGTCTGATGCTACGATTAAACATGACTGCTCCTGTTGGCTGCTGTTAGCCTGTAATGCCAGGCCTGCTTTATAATGACATTCCATTAAACTGAATCACTCCTGCTCACTGGCTCCCTCCTCATAGGAGGAATGTGGGTGGTGAGTTATCGAAGTTTCATGTATCTGGCATTTATACCATCTGGGTTAAAATGCCTGCCCTGGCTGCTTTTTCTGCTCATCTTCAGCTTTAAGATTCCTGTGTGCAGTATGTCTGGGTTCAACCTGAATTATCCACAACTGGATGTTCTTTTTTAAATAGGAAGTATGAAGGTCTCACATTCTCATTTTTAATATCCTTACAATATTTTTTCCAAAAGTTCAGTGAAAAAAAAAGTATCAAAGTGTATCTCTGCATGTCTCTTCTTTCCACATCTTCTCAAATTCTTTATCATAGTTATAACAAATGTTTTGCATACAGAAACTGCTACCTCAAACATATCCTTAAGTTTAATGACTGGTTTTTATTTTGCAGTCACGACATGAACTAAAGAATGTGAGATCAGATGATCTTCAGGTGCTCTCACCTCAGCGCATTTGGGGCAGTCCCAGTTAGCTCTCAAAGAAAAAACTCACGAGAAGCAGCACTTGTCTGAGATGTGGTATTCATCCAGATGGGCATCTGTGAAACGACACAGTTAGTCTAGATCCTGTGTTGTGTTTAAGGCGCTTATTTTTTCTTTTTGTGTTTTTCTCGTTGACATTTCATATAGTTCCTCCCTTAATTTTAGTTTATGAGGCAGTGGAACTTGGATTTGACTTCAAGGTTTGTTGCCAGTGCAGCTGAGGTGTGAAATTAAAAATATGGATGTAATCGGGAAGATTTCATCTGAATATATCTCCGAATAATTTTTCTGGAGAACAAAAACAGAGTGAGTATGGGTTATCTAACTGAGCTAAGGAAAACATTTACAAGAGCTCCATTTGAAGGCTTGTGATAAGCTATGGAAGTGGCTCCATGGAAATACTGCAGGTGCTTCCTTACAGTAATTAGAGATGTTAAACTTGAGCCCGCTTATTTGCATTTGCCACTGGACTCAAGCATTACTCTAGAGTATATTCTACAGAATGCCGATTTGTGAAACTGAAGAAATGTAATCTATGCATAGACTCCGTTGCAAACAGTCTCTGGTGCTTTCCATGTGTTTCTCCTCACCGCTCTACTATGGTGAAAAACTACACAAACAGAAAACTCCAATTCCAAGAAGCTCATAAAATCTCATCTTGATGCAATCTTGTATGTCTCCTCATATGAATATGACTTACTGTTTGCATATTGGATAGACATAGATGCTGCCCTACATTCATGCATTTGAGGATTTATTATCTGTAAGTAATCAGTCTGAATTATGGAAATCAGACCTGAGTCAAAACTATTCTTCAACTAGACAACAGCTTTTAAACATATACTCCAACACACAAATGTGTTATTATAGAGACACAAACGTTTTTATTAAAGTATACTGCAGCTGGTTCTATACACAGACTGACTAATACAAATTCTGGTGACAGCACCATGTAAATTCAGTTATTTATTTAAAAATAAAAAAAAATAAAAAAAAATAAAAAAAATCACATTCAAGTTCCATCCTGTACGTATTACAGGAAGGTGACTTGTCCCCTTTTTTTCTGCTTCTTACAGTTTTAACTGTTTCCTTACTCAAGATACCACGTAAAACAAAACTTGATCAACACTTCAGTGAAATGCCAACAATGACCTGACTTCCTATGACAGAAGAAGTGGCCATGGAAGGAATCTCTGAAATGAGAAAATCAGAACAAGGTCACGGGAAGATGTTGGAAAGAGGTAATGAATGTGTGACCCTGGCCAGGCAATTCAGTCACATGAAGACTGGTAGAGTTGTGGCTGAAAGGGGGGAAATAACAGCACAGTTCTGGGCCGACTGCCATTTAAGACAATGGGCCTCCTCAGAAATGGCACTTCCTTGAATTGTGCACACTTTCCATATTGTAAATGAAAATACAAGCCCCTCAGTGGTGTTTTTTCCATCATGGCCAACCTACCACTGACTTCCCAGAGAGTAACAGGTGATTCATCAGAGAGAGCAACATCGGTCCTGTAGGAGTTAAAGTGAGCTGTATTTGGATTGCATACTGGTTCTCCTACAGCGGATAAATACTGTTCCTAAATATTTGTGTACACTGATCACGCTCTGCATACTGTAGCATTTAGTGTATAGCACATGTGTAGTGTGGAATAGTGACAACACCTTTACAGTATCTTCATCAGGAGTAAATCTGCATCCACAGGTACTTGAAACCATGCTGGAAGTTACACGAGGCCAAGACAATAAATCTAAAAGATCCTTTTCACACAGAAAAAGCATCACTGTAGTTGGCAATTTATGGTAAGCAGCATTAATGATGCATTTATTGAGTCACTGTGATGATTTAACGTTTCAAAGATCAACCTGTAATTTTGAGAATGTGGCTGTACAAAGCTATTTTCACACATAAATTTCAGAAAATGTATTGTAATGCAGTTGGGATAAAGCTTTAGAGCCACTCACAAACAAAACTGAACACACTGATCAATGTCTCATCTGACTGACTACACAGAACATTTGCATGCACCTTTGACAAGTGCTGAGAAACAGGAGTGTGCAAAAGTCTTGAGCCACCCATGTCTACTTTATACTGTTGAGGTCCATGCTCACGGGGAGACCAAGCCATGACTGAGATATGCTTTTACTGCATTTGCAGTGTGTTATAGGGATCATTGTCACACTGAAAAATGAACCTATTGTCAATCAGAGGCTTTCCAGTGAATGGTGGTGCAAACTCTGACTGTTCTTTTCTGTGTTCATAATCCCATCAATTTTGACAAGATCCCCAACACCACTCGTTAAAATGCAGCACTAGACATTTACAAATAGCTGTAAGCACCATCTCCTGACCTCCTCCATACGTGTCATCAATGATTTGAACCAAAAGTTTAAAATTTGGATCGACCACTCTGAAGACCTGCTGCCACCGATTTTCAGTCCAGGTCAGTCATATAGTCATACACTATCCTTTTCTCCCTGGTTCCCAGTTCAACAATATAAGCAGATGTTTAACAAGCTATATAGCCGATTTCCATCCCCAGACGTTAAAACTAGTATAAAAGGAAGCATTTGGTGAGTAAATCTAATAAACATAACCTTAAAGATACATTTATGTCTGCTACTGGTTAATGTAACACTGAACAACACACCCTGCTCTGCACCAGTCCAACATCACGGTGAGCGTCACCCTAACCAGTTTAGCCTTCACTAAGCTGTACCAAACTTCCTAGTACATTTTCCTGCATTCTTTAAATAACGTATAATTATTATACATCACATAGTTTCGCAAGACCTCTCACAAAAACATAATTCAGTAACACATAGATCCAACATCTGACATAAAAGCTCTAAAAAAAATGGGCCATTGCATGTAGGCTTTAAAATTCCATTGTGTAAAATTCTACTTTGAGAGCAGCCCTTACCTTTGAACATTATATCTCATCTTTAAAATTAAAATTTTTTCCCTCAATGTAGGCAAAACAGCAACAGTACATAATCTAGCATACAAGTTGTGTGACAAGAAACAGTTTGTGTTTTTTGATATTTGTTATCTGCCACTTAAAAATACTTTACTCCATTTATGCATGCTGTTCTTCTGTGCCGCTAGATGGCTGAAGTACTGCAACTTTCTATACTACGAATGCATCACAGTGATAACAAATGATGTTATTATATTCTCATTACTGAGCAAGCGTCTCCATGCCAACACGGGAAGAAACACCAGGCAGCAGCACATTAAAATGAACTAGTTTGACTAGTTTGACCCTGCCTATCTGATTTAATTGCTGGTTAATTGAAGGTTTCACAATGTCATTCCAGATAGTTTCAGCTCACTTTAATCCCTGGTGCTGAGGTCCCTTCCATGACAAGATAAGTATAATGCAAAAACCTCTGGGCATTGCAGCCTGGATACTTTGGTTAAACTGCTTTTTTTCCTATAACAGTAGGAGGTGAACAAACAAAGCACGTCTGAGATTCAGTGTAAGGTATGAAGTCACTCCAAACGAGAGTTTCTGGGGATATTTTTATCTCCTAAAAGCTTAATGCCTCTGACAACCAGTCAAGCTGCAGTTCATTTGTGTAAACACTTTATTACTGTATCCTTTGAGACATTTGTGGGATTTTCATTTCTCATAAACTATTGAGATAGCTTCAAGTTGCCTCAACATTCCTTGTATCCAAGAAAGCATTGTATTAAATGTGACAAAACCTCCTTCAAGGTGCTCCTGAGATACTGTGATCAAGAGCATGGAACAGATGGATAATCTGAAAAGAGCCACATTAAAGTCTAAACTCCGTAACAACAAAGTGCTCTTCAATTGTTGTCATCCAATAGTTTTGTAATCCAAGGTCATCCAAATAGAAGAAACAGCAGAACAATCAAAGGTTAAAGCTGTAACTATATTTGTAGAGATCCTATTAAGACCTTGAAAGGCAGGAATTTAACCATTTTAGCATTTTGTTGTATGTGAGAGAAGTAATTTTAGAAAAACCTGTTTTTAATACCACAAATAAACTAACAAGGAGCTATTTGCAACACCTTGTTGCCTTGACACAAGTATGAAAATACTATGATATAACATTGCTGGCTGACAATAAAACAAGACAGTATATGCCATTTGTAGACAGAGATGGAAGAATTTACTTTTAATGTCTCGTTGAAAGCACAAATTTAATTCATCAAAACTTCAAATTTAGCTACAGACTGCAAGTTTGATATTACATTGATTATTTACTTTCAACCAGCCTCAAATCTGGCTAACACTGACAGTAACGTTGGTGCATGGAAAGGGAATGTCAGTAGTTTTTATATAAAGTAGTAAAAAGGTGGCAAAAAACAACAACAAAACAAACAAAAACCCAGCAATAGGTTAGTGGTCACAGGTTTAACAAGAAAGAAATCTCATCTGTAAATAATAACAGTGCAAGAAAAGCAAACAAGAAATTTAAGGCTGGAAAAAAGTGGAAACCCCCTTTTTTTTTAAACTATCTGAGACTACAAGATATATCAGTGCTGCGATCTTTCTGGACTTACAATAAGTACCTGAATTCAAACGGTTTCACTGTTACAGTAGATCTCCATACTACAGAGATCAGGCACTATTTCTGTTAAAAGAACCATAACAGACTATTGCACCTGTACCAGTGTTCTCTCTGTACGATTCCTGGTTTCGCAAGTGATCATGAAGAAGATGAAGGACTTGTCTTTGCCCTTTAAGCCATGATTTTCTTCTTGCACTCCACAGAGCAGAACAGGAAGTTCTTCACTGCCATGAAGCGCTGGCCAATCAGGCATTTGGAGCAGCCGGAGCACTTGAAGCACTGTGGCTCGGCATGCCAGTGATAATCACCATAGGAAACCCTCTGGGCCTCAGGCTCTACTGCATTCTGGCAAGATGAGCATTTCTGGCAAGAGGTAGGAAATAATGATGTCAAGTTTTTTTAAGTTAAGTTTCAGATATCTAGGTTTTCCACAATTCATTTTAAAATTATTATTCAAACTCTTCAAGTTTCTATATTATTTCTATGTAGTTTCTTCCCCTAACAGCTTTAGCCTCCACTGCAGTCAAACTATGTATGTATGTGGTTTAAACTATAAGGTGTCCTCATGGTGCCTAATTAATACCTGACACGTTGAAATATGTTTCGTTTAAAAACTTTTAAAAAATGCTTGGCAGCACAGTGTAATTACTATCTCAAACAAAAAAGAGATTCCTCAACTCTTACAAGCAAAGGCAAGTATTTGGTTATATGACAACATAAGCTTTGCTGTGGATTATGTTGGAAAAAAACACAGTAAACACACACCGAGCGCTTCACATTCTTGGCTTAGGGTGGCCAGCATATATTCCCCCATCAATTTTTCACAAAGTTTGACTTGGGTGAGACGATTTTGCACGAAGCCCTAAGAATCACTAAGTAATTTGCTTTGGTAACAAGTAAAATGCTATAATCATTGTTGGTGTGTTATAATGGCCTCCAAAAGAGAGTGATCAGAGTGAAATGTGACAATCTTCTGTTTTAAACATCTGCTTTTTAGATCAAACCATAACATTCCACTGTGGCGTCCAATATAAGATGTTGTTGTTCTTGTTAGAGCTCATTAGGGGGTTTAAAGCCAAAAATATGCACTCAAGAATCTGAATTTTGGTATGGCTACAGCTCCCTGCTAACAAATCCTTCAAGCTCAATTGCACTAATCAGCCAAAACAATATGACCTTCTACCTAGAACTTCAAAGGTACCCCAAGACATCAGCACCATAATTATTCTTATAGTATTGTATATAATGAGCTGTAGCCTCTGCATATCAGACTTGCTGACTAGTGGCCATATTCAAAATGTTGATTACGCAAACAGACTACCCACTTATGTTCTACTGTATCCCAGACCATCACATGCATCTCTGAGAGGTCATAATGTTATGGATCATTGGTGTATTTAAACCAATGAGCCAATTAAAGAAAGAAACCCAGAGCAACAAAGACTTACCACAGCATAGTTCGTCATGTAGCAGGGCTTGCAGACAGGCTTGTCATTCTCCATAACATACGTCTCTCCAGCCAGAATGCAGTCACATTCAAAACAGCAGAAATGCTTCAGATGCCAGTTCTGGCCCTCAGCCTGAGTGTACTCGTTACTGAAGATCAGCTGTAAACAGACATGCATCAGAATGTAGCATCAACGGTGCTAACAAACTCTCAGCTATGAATGGTCACACAGATGTGTATGTAATGCAATTTTTTTTAACCAAAATCAAAAGAGAAGCAAATGATCATATCCTCATCTCACCTCATCACAGCCTCCACATCGTGGCTTCTCGCTGTCTCCATAGTGCCGTCCACAGTACATCTTGCCTTTCTTCCAGAAGTAGATCATGTCCACCAGCAGTTCGTTACAGGTACAGCAGACGAAGCATGCTGGGTGCCACATCTTGTCATAACCGGCCCGCTCAGCATAGACAGCTGGCTCACCCTTACGCATGGGCTGCTGGCACTGATGGCATGACTTTAAGGGAAAATACAGTACATTGGTACAGCTGTATAGTTCATTATGAAAATATATTCTATTGATATTTTATTATATAGGAGAAAAAAAATCAGAATAGTTTGTTACATCCTTTCCTAAATATTTGATTTGAACAAACTATCACTGCACAGTATTTCATAACAAGTTTCCATCAATGGTAACTTTGCTCTTTGAATGTTGTTGGGTTTGTTTTTATTTTACATGAATTGTAGTAAAATTGAAAGCAGGATGAAATAAAAATCCACAAAAAGAATTAACTGCACATGGTAATGATAAGAAAAACAGTACTGCATTAAATAAGAACCCAGCATCCTCAAATGGGATGGTTGGTCTATGGCTCCACCTAGTGTTAAGTTTGGAAATGACTGAAAACTGATAAATAAACCAAGTCATACAAAAGTTAAGATTTGAACTTAGTCAAATGTATTAACTTGAACTATGGCTATTTACATATTCTATTAAAAATCTATTTTTCATATATTACCAGCAATTCATCACATCTTTAAAGAAACATTTTGTGCATGATTTCTAAGCTTAAGACATCAAAGGGTTTCCAGATGAATGGGATGAGCAGAAAGGGAAGGAAATGTGAAATTATAGAAACATTATATTATAAAGGTGTGTATATAGGTGATTTGCATTGCAGGGTGGAGTGGGTCCAACTCTTATGAGATGTGAAGGTCACAAGTAGACGCTATGTAATTTCAAGGGTTTATATAAGTGTTGATCGGGCTTCCCAATGAGCCCTAGGGCAACTGTAAGAGGAGTGTGGCTGACCAAAGGAAAAATATATTATGAAACTAAGTTTGACTTACACACAGGAAATAAACTAGAAAACCACTAAATGAAACTACAACATGTGTAATTCCCCCGTTTGAGGGTATGCTAGAAGATAGGAAGGGAACAGGTATTCTGACCATGTTTTATTTTATTCATGATATTAAAATAATATTTTTTTTTTTTAAATAAAGTTCCTCTTAAAATTATTGTCTCCATCTATTAACTAGATGTCAAACATATCATTGTGTTCTTGGAATTTGTTCTATTGGTAAAGACTTTCATCTTGTATTATGCAAAACTGTGAGTGAGGATTTTTTTTGCTTTGTATGTTTTCCTCCCATCTGTTATAGTGTGACATGTCATGTGTTTACCATAAACATTTTTATTTAATTTAACTTTAGTGCAGACGGTCAGTGAACTGAGGGGGGGGGAAAAAACTTACAAAGTTCTGTTGTGGTAGTCCAGCTTGCTGACCTCCAGGGACACTCATGGCTCCAGCGGTGGCAGTAGTACCCATGGCTCCTCCAGCTGGTCCAAAGCCTGCAGATGGTCCAACGCCAGGCCCTGAAAGTGGTCCACCACCAGCTCCAGCTCCACCAGCTGCAGGTCCAAAACCACGACCAGCTCCAACTCCACCAGCTGCAGGTCCAAAACCACCACCAGCTCCAGCCCCAACACCAGGTCCTGCAGCTCCAGGCCCTGAACCAAATCCAACTCCAGCAACCCCAGCCTCTGGTTTATAGCCAGCAACTCCACCCCCACCAATACTCCCAACAGCAGCACCACCTCTAGGTCCAAACTCAGCCCCTCCTGCACTAGGTGCCCCTCCAACCCCAACACTAGATCCACCCAGCCCTCCTGCCTGAACCAGAGCCATCTCTTCAGGCAGCATGACATCTCCAACCCCCAGGGCTTCATCCTTGTACTTGCGAACGTATTGCTGCATCAGCTTGACCTCAGCAGGGCTCAGCTCATGACACCTGGACGGGTCCTGGTCATGTTCAGGTAGCTGTCGGGCCATCTGCTGCCGACGGTAAGCAGCTCCCTCTGTACCAACCACTGGGCGTTTCTCTGGTGGGAGCAACTCAATATAACGCACAGCCTACAGAGAGACAGACAATAAAAGAGTCACCTCAGAGGGAATGAAGAAAAATGTGAAGGACAACCAGAAGAAGATCAGAGAGACAGATTAGATATAGACTAACCAGAAAGAAAGTGAAGTTTTGTTTTTTAGTGAGAAGACAAGGAATACATGGGACAGATACAAAAACAGACTAAGCAAAAGACGAGAAAGTTGAATTAATGTCAAACATAAGATTAATGTGGTGGTGAGAGATGCTGGCATTAAAAATGACATCCTCTTTACTGTAATCACCAGTGCTTCAAAAGTCCCCGCCACACATTTAAGACAACTGAATAAAACAACATTTTGTAACATATTTCTGAAAGAAATTGCTACTGAGAAGAAACAGACCTTTTAAACAAAAAAAAGACCTAAACAAAAACAAACAAACAAAAAACTGTTGATTCAGTGACATCAAATGTGCAGACCTTCTGTTATGCAGTAGCTAGCCAAGGGTTTTCTAATACCTTGAACTTTAGGAGGCATAAACAAACAAAAATGATTCGGCTAATCTCCCCTTCAAGGTCGTCTTTCTCTGTGCACCTGAACAATGCCAGGAAGTCTAATTCTAACCATCTACACTCCAGTGTGTTAAAATGGTAACATCTTGCCTTAAATTTCACTTTGGAGACAAGCACAAGGTTACAGGAAAGTGTCATAAAGGAAGAGGTTGACTTTTTTAGTTGACTACACCTACATCGATCTATGGTTCATGTGTTTTTGCCTATTACCAAATCTTAAATGATGCAATACTTCCTGACCAAGGCAGGAATATTATCTATTAATATGTTAATTTTTTTATACCAATGAATCCTTTACCATATGATAATGCTTAAATGCTTTTTGGGGGTTTTAGGAGGGTGGGGAATGAAAAAACAAAAAAAACCAACTCAATTTAGACTTGAAAAGTTATTTTCTAACTAATATGAACTCTTACCAGGTACTTGTTAGCCACTGGTGGTGCCCACTCATAGGTGACAGTCTTCATTGGTACATCTTTAGGAACTGGCACTACATTGGCTGATGTGGCACTGACAGTGACTGGCACTTTGCTAGCCCTGACTGGTGTGGCACTGGCTGGTACAGGCTGAACCCGAGCATGACCCTGAACCCCAATGCCTGTCGAACCTGCAGAGGCTCCAGCTGAGGCTACAGAACCAGCTGTGGCAGACGGGGACACAGAACCAGCTGTGGCAGACGACGACACAGAGCCGGCTCTGGCAGAAGGGGGCACAACAGTAGAGGTCGCACTGGGTGGTACCGTGTAAGCAGTGGCAGGGCTAGGCAAAGTGATGGTCACCATGTTGCCCTGGTAGCTGGGGATCCCATCCGTCTTCAGCTTGGCGATGAGGCCGGTGTACTTGGTGTCCTCAAACAGCTTGCCTACCTTCTTGTTCTCCTCCGAGTTCATCGCCACATCATGCTCTGTGAGGCCACATTTGCAGTTTCGGCATATCTTTCTGCAAAGAAGAATTTAACAAAATGTTCAGGACTTTGACTTTTTAAACCTTGATACTAATAAATTACCATTGCTTTATTCAAACTAAACAAGCAATGTCTCAGTTTTTTTACTACATATTCTTCTTTATAGCTGGTATATTTGATAAATTTGAATAAATCCTCACTTCATTCACCTCCCTCTATTTTTAGAATATTAAATAAAAACTCCGACGCCATTATACCAACACAATAAGTTCTGTGTTAAAACTGAACTACTGGCATTTTTATCATGCCTCAACACATCTTTTGATATGACTATGACATAATTTGTAACTAGAAGGCATGCTCCAGCCCAAACAGGCCTTCAGAATTTTAGTGGAATAGGCAATACGTTGTAGCAATACTCATAGGTAACCAGATGAAAACTCTGTAACACCGAAATAGAAAAATCTTCTCTTTTCTTTATGTTTTTTTAACTTCATTTTAAAACTGATGAAGAAAAAGAGCTTCTCAACTTTGGGATAAATAACATATTTTAAAGAAAATGAAAGGTATTTTCATCAGTGTTGCAACAAACCAACAAAAAGTGTCAGAGGGTTGCTGTATTATTATACAGCAACCCTCTGACACACAAAGTGAAATGACTTACAATCGAGTTTTGTTTTGTTTAGATTATGTTTACCTAGCTTGATTGTTTAAGACCCATTAACTTTATATTTACAAAAACACTGTATAACTATAATAAATGATTATGACAGGCTCTACAATCAAAACTAACTTGTGGCTTTAGAGGGCAGGTGACAACCTTTAATTATAGCGTCTTCATAGAATTATGATAAAAACTTTGCCTGAAAATTCAGCCCCGGCCGCATTAGACTAAATTCTATTCTCAAGAACAGCATGTTCCCATTAGGCCGATGGCTCCTGCTGCTATAGGAATCCTTTTAATTAAGCAAGCTGGGAAGTTGACAGACTGGGTCAATGAGTGAAATGTTGTTGTCATGCAGAATAAGCATGCTTTTTTAAATGACTGCTCTGATTCATAATGGTATTCAACATTACTGAGTTGAGTTTTAAAATATATAGTGATATATTTCTACATAAGATACAGGAGGAAAGTAAATATTTTATATAAATATAGCTTAATATTGCATCAAAATTTTTGTAAAGAGTCTGCATTTCTCCTCTTACTACAATTACCATCTCATGCAGCTCCATCTCTATTTACTGCCCTCCTGCACTGCAAGCTCAACAATAAACTAAGCTTCAAAGTTAAGCTCTGAGTAAATATTATAATTACCAGTATTTCAACAGCTAACAAACAGTATGTCATTTCTACTATATAAGTCAAACAAAGAAAGAAACTGCTCATTTCCAAAGCCACCCATCTCATTTGACTAAAACAGTAGATTCTACATTACAAAGAATAGTTTCTGGAGTTTTTGCTGTGCCGATGTGTTTTAACATGTTAGTTTGGATCTGAGAGAGTTTAATAAATGCCAAAGTAAACCAACAACAAAAATAATCAGCAAGTTCTTTGTTGTTATGAGGTAAAAGTGTTTTATCAAAGAACTTTGGCAGCTTTTACAAGAGCAATGCTGCTTTCATTGTTTTCCAACAGCACATAAAGCACTGAAAATGTTGCAAACATGGGATACAGCTAAAGCAGTAATTATTTCTTGTAGATGACTAAAATGCTGACCATGACCACACCAGCGCTTATCTTCAGCGCAGGCTCTTACTCCTGTCTGTTAGCAGGCGTGTCACCTACCATCCACTATAAATAATACGCTGCCTGCAGTTCTCAAGGGTGAACAACTCCATTTCAAAGGAAATATATTATCCTTCAATGCAAGAAAAGCATTTCAGAAGTCAAACACTAATGATCAGAATTATTATTATCAGAAAGAATAATTATCAGAAAGAGACATACAAGAGATATACTCCTGCCAAGTTTACTGAAAATGGCAGCCTACTGCCTAAGACATCTTACCCATTGCATGAAAATAAGGAGGTATATTTTGTTTATTATCATTCAGCCCAAAAAGCACTAAAATATGGTGTTTGTTGACTGAACCTTACTAAACACTATTTTTTGTTTGTTTATTTTTGTTAAACTAAAGTCGTACTGAAGAGTTCACAGCTTTGCTCAAGACAACAGCGACTCACTCTTTAATCAGCAATTTGGACACAGGAAGCAAAGAAAAGGAAACTTGTGAAACTGTGATGATGTGCAGAGGAACTGTTCAAACCTCCAGAAATGCAGCTCAAAGCCCTCACACTTGTCCTTGCATTTCAAACAGGCAGCTCCAGCACCAAACTCATGGCCAAGCGTCACCTGTAAATAAAGCACACAAAGGAAATGACACATACTGTCAGTGTTTTGTTTTCTATTGAGCAAAACACGGTATTTAAATGAGGGAAAAAGTTTATGATGATACTTGTGGGAGAAGAATCAGAATAAGCTTCACTGGCCAAGTATATGTACACATACATTTATTATTTAAATAACAGGACAGACAAACAGACAATAGCAACATGACAGAGACAATAACATGTTTAACATATTTATATTTGCATTGTTGCAAAGAGATCAGAGTGCAACGATGTTGGAACAACTTGTGAAAGAATAAGAAACAAATAAGTGTCTACTTATATGGGAATGTGACAGCATATTATATGAATAAATAAAGTACATAGATATTTACAACAAATGGGTTGTTTTGGTGTACAGTGCTCTGTAATGCCTATCAGAGGGGAGGAGTTGGAACCTGTTGTGTCCAGGGTATGATGTTTGTCTGATTCTGAATTTGTCTTGAAATCCTGAATGGAGAGAAAATCTGCGCCAATCTTTTTTTTTTTTTCTGCAGTCCCAACTGTCCGTTTGATGATTGATGTGCATAGAACAGACTTAAGTATTGCAGAGTACATTTTGATCAACAGTGCCTGAGGCAGATTGAACTTCCTGAACTAACACAGGAAAGACATCCTCTGTTGGGCCTTTTGATCATTTTGTCTATGTTGGACGCCCACTTCAGGTCTTGGAAGATTGTAGATCCCACTGCAGAGGGATTCCTACTGAAGACAGAGCAGGAGCAGCTTAAATGAGATTTACGTTTTGCTACTTTGTAGTACCACCATAAATCACATTGGAACAACTTAAATTGGGCTTTTTAAAATCTCCCAGGGGAATTAAGTCTCACTCTGGAAATTGTTGCAAGTTTCACTTTTAAACAGCAGTCACTGTCTGTCTGCATTCCTCAGCAGAGAATGTCTTTTTGGGTCAAAAATATCTCTTGACAGCAGGGTGCCTGATGGGATCCCACCAGCCTCTTAGTGTTATTGAATAGTTGCCTATATATGGTCGCAAACCATCCTAATGGCTTAATGTGTACATGAGTGAGAAATGCAGACAGACAGTGGCTCCTGTTAAAAAGTGAAGCTTTGATGCCAGACTTTTAACATTCACCACAATTTCCAGAATGAGACGTTTGTCCTCTGGGAGATGTTAAGAAGCCCAATTATAAGTTGTTCCAGCATGGTCCTAGAAAGTACCAAACACATCAGTAAATCTTAGTTAAACTGTAAGATGTACTCGCCTCCTGTGTCTTTTGCAATGAGCAGCTTAAACAGAACTTAAGGAGCAGCCTGGAGTAGCCTGTCACAGGGAACTAGGGAAGATGAGAGTTCCTGTGTAATTAAGCATAATTCTTTTGGGGTAGGACTGTGTATGATTTTACTTGCATTTTAATACTGATGCAGAAATATTTGTGGAAGGCAGTGTTGTCTAAATAAAAAGTTTAACCTGAATTATGAAAAAGTAAACAAAAGGTGTGCAGGCATCCATTGCTAACTTCCAGTCCTTGATTCTCAGGGGGTTTCAGATGGTACTACAAAGATGTTCAGGCTCTTGCAGAAAGTACTTGAACTTTGAGACAAAAGAACAAATTATTTAAAATGTCATTTTACACTACCAACTAAAACATCATTTTCAACTTTGCAAATGCAAACGTTTATCGGTATGCTTTAAGGGCGGACAGGCTAAGTGGTTGAAGCCTAAATATTTATCTCAAGCATAGGGAGGACGACTGTTTTTGGCAGAGCTCATTCAGCATGTATACATGCTTCCCTGGAAGGCAGCTGCACCATCTGGATTCACACTTCAAGTTAATCAATGACTTTGTTTCATGACTAAGCCTGTGGGGTGATTAATTTTGATGACAACACTTTTGCTACAAGCCAGCTTAGACACAAAGTCTATGATTCAGGTCCAGTGAGTCATAGTTCATGAGTCACTTTACTGGAGAAGGGCAGAGCTGCAGGCCAGTGGCAAGGAAGTAGTCGCTTTAGCTGGAGCTGACCAGCTACTTTCAGACGCTGGACACAGTTTCTGTAACATCATGAAGATGATGTAAGATATGTAAAACACATATTTTTAAAAAGAATGTTCAATTACTTACATGTATACATCTTGTTTCTAATGCTTTAAATAACAGACGGTGTCAAGGAAGTTTCAGTCAAACCACCCTTAAATTTATGAACAACTTTTTCTATTTTTAAGGCAAACTTTCCTCTGTAAAGGTGGAATACGGTCATAAAAAATATTACTATTTTTCAGTTCGCTTACTGCTGTTTTAGACAAAGATTTAATTGGTTTCATGATTCACTGGCTTGAACTGAAATTCAGTTCATAACACTGTAATCACTGCAGGATTTAAACAAACAGAGAAATCCTTTGGTGTGGTTCTATTTCTACCACAAAGTCATATGAAAGCTTTAATGATGGTTTAGGCGTTTAGGTAAGAAATAAACCTAGCCAGACCTCCACAGACTTCTAAGAGTCAGCAGAATGGTAATGCTGTACGCCGCGACCCTATAGTCACAGCCTATTACGTCAGACGTTCTGTTAAGTAGAATGCAGCACCTTAATTGAGTATAATATCACCTAAACACAATGATAACGTTTCCTGAACAAGCGCAACACAGATCACAGCAGCATCTCTGTGAACTTGCAGCCTCCCGCAGACAGAAATCCTGCAGCGGTGGCAGGCTGATCTCCCCCAGGGATTACAGGCAGATGTCAGACTGTCTGTCTGGGTTATCCAGCTGCTCAGACCTATTTAAGGAGAGGATTCCCTCATCTTCACTGAAACAGTTTGTCCCTGTAAAATTCTCACTCTTAGTCAATTTTTCAGAGTGAAGCTGAAAGCTCTGAAATTTAATGCAGGAAAAATGTAAACCATATTTTTACAAGTGGCTGAAGACATTAAATTGCAGCTTAATAACTCATACAAAACAAACCACCAGTCTGTGTAACCACCTTCACTGCTACCAAATCTCTGCAGGTCTGTGCAAAGATCCCCCAAAGCTCAAGTTAACTTAGTAGCATAAATTAACAGTACAGTACCAATGTTTTTGCACCATGCCACCAAAACACAATCCTTGTTTGTGTATAAACTTGTCAATAACCATAATAAATATCAACAATAATAATAATAATCCATATAGTTTGATTCTGATAACTACAAAAGCTTTAACAGATGTTAAAATGCATTTTTCTTTTCCTAAACTACTTAAGAGGTTATAATAGCTTCTATGGAAAATGCTGACTGGTTGATATTCATGTGTATTCACTACATAAACCTGGATTCCTCGAACAGAATTATTTATACAGATTATCTATGGACCATTAGTAAACTAAGGAGAAGGGGTGCATAAGAGGAATCTAGTGAATGCCAACAACGAGTATCTACAGTGATCCATGATGATGAATGAATGACTATTCACTAGACAAAGCGTGTACTGTAAAAAGGTTTCCTGCCTGTCCTGACTCTTAACTTTTGTCTTCTCCCTTGGATGGCCAAACTCTATTTAAAAAACATTAGATTTTGATGCATCTGGCTTACAGTCTCAAGTGCATTATGAGTGACATGAGCCTTAATATTCTTGAAACCCTGCTGACAGTTCAACACTCAATTCGGCAGCTGTAACGGCAACATTTACTTATGGACAAATTAACTATCACAGCTGGTTTGCATTTTACTGTCATAGTGATTTGTTCCACTTAATAGAGAGCCGAGGACGCTGAGCACCGCGGATTAATACAGTATCAAAACCCTGAACAAGGAGGACGACTTTGTACGTAAAATGGGTACGTTAATGGGTCAAGCTGTTCCGCTATTAAGTTACAGAGGTTGGGGGTTTGGCTGATACGCAGAGTGAGACTTTGTCACATTTCAAACGCAGTTTCTTACATCGGAACTTATTCTGAAAGGGAAGTAACTAAAAAGGGCGCGACCTATGTTTTCCAAGTTTGTAAACCGATCGACGTGAGTTTGTTCCAGCAATATCAACTACCCAATGATGTGAAATAAGCGTATTTAAGCGAACTAAGTGGATTTTTAATTGAAAAAAAAAAAACCATAAATAAAGACCATTAATATCTCGAAATTAAAACCGAAACTTAAACTGTAAAATAACCTGCAGTACTGTAACTTTTCTGCCACCTGTCCCTTGCTCTGCACACCTTAAGGGCGTTCCCCGAACTGTGCGAGATATCTACGAAGAACACGGGGGCAAAGCTTACCTTCTTTAGCTCCCTCTCTATTTCCATTTTTGTGTTCAACGTTTTCTTATTCCAGACGTGCTTCTCGTAAAAAAAAAAAACAACAACTGTCGAATCCAAACACAGACAACGGGGAGAATGTGCCGGAAAAATGTAAAACAAATCCTGCTGCCCTCACTGATTTCCCTTTGGGGGTCCTGCTTCTACTCCGCACAGGTGATAACTTCGCCGGAATCAAGTCGATAGTTTCCGTTTGGGCATTTCAAAATAAAACGTACGTTGCCCACTAATGAGTCGGGTCTTATTTGTGTCAGTATGATGAAGTATTTAAATACTTGTGCATGTATTTTCAAAATCTATGTGATAAATTACAAATTGACTTTTTGTTTTAAACTCTAGGGGAGCCTCTAGGATTTTTTCATAGGGGTGGCCACTAAAATTACTGCAGTGGCACATGCCAGAGTGAAGGGGGCGATGAAATCACGAGGGACATACAAAATGACACAATATGAATGATGAAAATTGTATATGCAGGAATTAATAAGAAGCGAATGTTTCAGCTCATTGTAGAGTGTCTTCCTCTCTCTTGCGCTCATGTTTATTAAAATTATTACCTAATTTTGGGGCGTGGCCAGTGCTGGTCTGAAATAAGCAATGTAGTCCATTCACTAGTTTTCCATGTGAAAATATTAAGATGTGATCTGAAATTTTAAAATTAGCCTGGGGATCTGTGTTTTTAGACAAACAAATCAAACTGTCACTGCGCTTAACTGCTGAAGTGACAGTTCCATCTTAATGAATTAATGACACATTCAGATAATTATTTAACAATGTATATATTAATTTCATTCTGGCACTCCAAAGCAACAAAGACGTAAAACCAAAAAAAGTGGTCTCAGAAAGGACTTTAAAAGGAAAACACAACAAAAATATTTACTTTTAAAGATTGATGAGGCTGCTTCATCACAGAACCCAAGATAGTGAAAATGAGGTATTGAACAAATAATAATTGGTTCTGTTGACTATATATTTATTTTGGCATGAAATAGTAAACATGGGCACAGTAATCACATTAATTAACCAAAACAGTATTTATTGTAAACACCTGTAAACACTTGGGTATGCTTATTATTGGTCAAAATTAGTATACTATCAATTTATAATCCTCAAAGACATATAAAAGATACACTGTGATGGAAAGACCTGCTTTAACTATCTTACTTGGAGCCTGGTGTTAACTAGTCACGACACTGCAGTTATTTAATCTTTTCCAACAATTTGGGCTCATCTGGCGCTTTTACTGTGAAAAAAACACTTTCATTACTTCCGGACTTGCCTCATCTCTTCTTTCTTTTCTTTCTAGCTTGACTTTACTTTCACTCGGGAGGTCCCGTACACTTTTCATTGATGTTTGAACAGGGCGGGACTTCCGTTTTGGCAGATTTTCCGTCTTAACCAATAAGAGTACAAAAAAGAGGTACTGGAGGACAGGGTAGCCAACCAGGAAACAACAGGGCGTGTCTTTACCTAACAAAGGATGTGAGTGTATTTGACACATTCAACCTGCTGCAGTTGCGGTTTTTCCTCCGAACCTTTCCCCCCCTCCTCCGACCCTCATCTTTATGTGTAAATACATTCTAAATTATTAAATTATCTAATTATACACTGATAACGGTGTGGTAATTTGTTTGTGACAAGACAAGAAAATTAATTTTTAATCACATATAGCAACTGAAATAATCTTAGGACTCGTTGTCCGCAGACTACAGCTGGTCCGTGTTTTGAACTAATGTTTGTGGTTTGAACCGAAACAGCTGCAGTTTTGACTCAGTGACAGGAAACAATAGTCGTTATCAACTTCCTGTGTGTTGGTTTAGTGGAAGCAGCACTGTCACACCCGGCCACTTGATCTGTCGTGTTAACTGTTAAAGAACCGTGTTTTGATGCAGCTTTTTCGCCGATGCTCTCATTCCCTGTGATGTCTGATCTATGCTTTCTGGTATGCCTGTAAACTCTCAGGCAACTGTTTTAGTGGATGTCGTCATTCAATCGCTGCATCCAAACCCTAATAAAATCGCATCATGTCCGAAGACATGCTGTTAAATGTGACTCCAAGATGGAAAGTGGGTCACTTAAAAGTGACCCTGAACCAGAATACACCAACTATAATACTTTTTAAAAATCACACACATAAAATGAGAGAGTAACTAAAGTTAAAAAGTTCAAATGAGTGTGCCCCACCTTTCACCCTACAGATAACTGTATGGATGCATGGAAGGACTTACCCTCCCATGCTGATTTTCAGCTCCCCCCACCCAAACACGCAAGAATAAGGAAGCTGTACACTCTCAAAGTGCTGCATCACTGTGACCTCAACAGATTTTACACTCTTTTGTATAGTTCACATTTCATGCACTTATTATCTCTCTAAACTTTGGTAGGGGCTAAGTTCAGTTCAAGGAAACTTTAACAGACACATGGATCAAAGATACTGCCTGCTTTGTTTTTGTAAGTCTGTGTGAATTCTGCAGATGCTTTTTACTGTTTATTTTTCCTCTGCACTTAGCTTATCAGCTTGGTTGCATAGGAAAAACTTGTAGATAGCAGACAGAAGACAGCCAATGGAGGGAGGTGGCATTAGTGAGTAACGTTACTTTGCTACCTTGTAAATTTCCTTTCAATTCTTAAATTCCCAAGTATGTCATAGATATCTTTTAAATCAGGCATTAAGAAGGAATCCAAGATGCTAGAATGCTGGAATTTTAAAGGCATTTCAAATTGTCAAATGTCTTAGCTGTTCAATACTTACTCCTCAATAGGTCAACATTCCCAAGAACTACATCCACTAAAGGTGACTGTTGTAAGGGAAGAAAACAAGACAAAAGCTGGGTATTGATGCCCAGCATATTAAAAAAAATGATTTTGATGCCTCCTGTCTTCACAGGGAAAATTCAACTAACATTTGGTAGGTGTCTTTTTCTTAATGCCTCACACCTGCTAAAACGCCAGATGTAAAGTTTTTGTACCATTACAAAACAAGTTATCTCATGTCTGGAAATATTTTTATTGACATGCAGGGTTCACAGTACATGTGTCCAGGCAGCTGGTTTGAATTTAGCTCATTGATGCAGTTCATCTGTGGAGCTGCTCCACCAGTAAGAGAGAGGAAGCTCAGAACACTGCTTTGTGTTGAACAATGAGATTCCTTCCTGAGCTGTAAACAGCATTTAAGCCAGCCATTCAATACCAGCTAATAGGGGATTATGATTTATTAATGTTTCATTGTTTTTTCATCCAAATAATCTGTCTATTTCACATAAAGTACCGTTTTTGTTTTTCAAACAATAAAATGGGGAAAAGCAATGAGGATGCAGTGACTAAATATGGTTGTATAAATATATTATTCAACAATAAAGTCATAAATTTAAAAAAAATTCATAGCAAAATTAAAGCCGTGTATTCTGATAATGATGTCTTAGTGTTTGATTAAATAAATTTTTGCCAGTTTATATCATAAACACCCACAGGTTAAATAAATCTGTGGAAACAGCTATCCTCGCTCCATCAAAAGTTAGCAAAATCTGCTGAGCATCACCTCTATTTGCATATTATAAACAACAACAACAACAACACCTACGCCAGAATGCTGTTTATAGACTTCAGTTCAGCATTCAATACAATCCACCCCTCACAACTCATCAGGGAACTGACAGACCTGGGCATCAGTTCCCTCATCTGCAACTGGTTACTGGACTTCCTGACCAACCGCCCCCAACATGTCCGGCTGGATAACCGCTGCTCATCTACAATCACGATGAACACCGGTGTACCACAAGGCTGTGTGATGAGCCCTTTCCTCTACTCCCTCTTCACCCACGACTGCAGACCTGCTGATGGTTCCAACACCATCATTAAGTTTGCAGATGACACCACGGTGATTGGCCTCATCAGTGACAACGATGAGGCCGCCTACAGGGAGGAGGTGGATCGTCTGGCTGAGTGGTGCGACAGAAACAACCTGCTGCTTAACACAGAGAAGACCAAGGAGCTCATCGTGGACTACAGGAGGAATGCTGACCCACATCCACCCATCCACATTAAGGGGACGGCTGTGGAGCGTGTGAGCAGCTTCAAGTTCCTGGGAGTCCACATCTCCGAGGATCTCATCTGGACGACCAACTGCTCCAAGCTGGTCAAGAAGGCTCACCACCTCCTCTTCTTCTTGAGGACTCTGAGGAAGAACCACCTGTCCTCAGACATCCTGGTAAACTTCTATCGTTGCACCATTGAGAGCATCCTGACCAACTGTATAACAGTCTGGTACAGGAACTGCTCTGCCTCGGACCGGAAGGCGTTGCAGAGGGTCGTGAAAACTGCCCAGCGCATCGCCGGAGCACCACTTCCTGCCATAAAAGACATCTACAGGAAGCGGTGTCTGAAAAGGGCTGGGAAAATCATCAAAGACCCCAGTCACCCATCACATGGACTCTTCACCCTCCTGCCCTCTGGGAGGCGCTACAGGAGCCGCCGGACTAAGACCACCAGGTACCGGAACAGCTTCTTCCCCACAGCTGTCAGACTCCTGAACTCTGCCTCCTGACATCTGACCCACGTTAAACTCATGGACTGAACATACACACACCCACAATGGACAACTGTACCCTCAAACACACAATGATAACATGGACTGAACCACCACTCACAACCATTAGCACTTTATATAGCCTCTGTAGAAACTATCTACACCCTCACTTATCTTAACTGCACTACTGTATAGCTCTGTGTAAATAATCATTCTGTACATTCGATAATCTTTAATCCTACAACTGTTTACAACTTGCATAGTTCCCATTTCTGTATAACTGTATATCTCAGATTTCTGTATAGTTTTTTTATTTCAGATTTATATCCTGTTCATAGCTTGTACTCAATACAGCCTGTACATACTTATAGTTATAGAACATTCACAACATACTTCATACCGTGTACATTATAACATACCATAATAGACCCATTCCTGTAATATACTTACATATCTATATTATTGCTAATATATATTGTAATATATCTATATCACTAAAGCACTTCTGGATGGATGCAAACTGCATTTCGTTGCCCTGTACCTGTGCATGTGCAATGACAATAAAGTTGAATTCTATTCTATTCTAAAACCAGAGCATAAATAGGCCATGCAGGAAACTGAATAGGAAGTTAAAAAAGCACATTGACCGTATGCAGTGTGTGCA